CCGGCTGTGCCAGGGAGCGTCCCTGACACAGTCTCTCCCGATCTCAGTCAGGAGTTCCACCTGCCGAAGAATTTCTTTGCTTTCTTCTTTGCAGGTCCGGCACTATGCTTAGCTTTCTTCCTGACCTTGTGTTCCTTGATCTCGTTGAAGAGCTCCTCACTTCCTCTCAAAAGCTCGTCCATGACAAACCATTGAAAATGATTCTCTCCAACTAGCTCTCTCCTCTGAGGCTCAAAAGCACTGAAGTCCTCGTTTGTCAATGCATCCGCCAGCTCATTGCCGTCCCTCCTAACCCAGGTCAGAGTCGCATAAGCATCATACCTTCTAAGCGTCTCTGCAACCTCAATCACTAGCAATGTAACCGGAAACTTGGTTGACAACCCCTTGCGAAGAATGAAGGAGTTGCCACGGTCGTCTGTAAATGCCTCCACGTATATCTCAGCAGACGCACCTCCACCCTTCAGCCAAAGCCTAAGGGCAACAAGCGTAGCAAGCAACTCCAGCGCAGCTATGACCCTCTTTGGGTTCTTTCCCCGGAAAAACAGCCAGGGTGCAAAGCTCTCCGTGACCTTGAACGAAAACCATCTGCAAGCCTTGCTGTCGGATGACTCCTCAAGCCAGCCTCCAATCCAAGCAGCATGTTCCGTCGCCTTGGCATCTGTCCAGATCCTCAGCGCACCGCCACCCTGGAACACTGGTCGCTTGACTGCCTCCATGCGGCCACCTTCTTTGAGCCTCTTTGCAATCCAACTCAAAATGAACTGTATTGCCCAAGGGATGGTCAATGCACCCCGGTTTGACTGTATCGCTGACGCCCAGGCGTACAACGGGCCCAACAATGGCCTCTCCCACGGAAGTGCAAGAGCGGAAAAACCAAGACGCCCCAAACCTGCAGCGAACTCCCTGTAGGTGACTTCTTTCCGCAGCCTCAGCGACCAGCACCCATTCGGTCCTCTTGACAGACAACCCCATTGCAAAGATGCGGTAGTCGGTGGTCAAGCCAATCCACTCCGTTGTCAAACCACCCCTTTGCTTCGCCCATTTGAACGGGGCTCCAAGTGCTGCCATCAGCGCATAGGCAAGGACACCTCCGACTCGCCCTTCACGTCCAACTGTCAACACCTCCAGGTCGTCTGCATACAACAACATGTCATTCGGGAAACCCTCCCCGAGGACCCAATACACTAGCCGCATCAGAGCCGCACTCAGCCGCGCCCACCAGTACGGAGTTGAAGCTATCCCAAAAGTCCCAACTTTGTTCACATAGACAGTGTTCGAACTTGAGGACGCCTTGCGTGCCAAGAAGCCCTGCTCCTCCACTGCATACTTGAAGCGCCTGTGCGCCTTAGCGAAGTCTCCCGCAAGGGACAGCACTGTCTTCTGCTCCGCCTCATACTCCTCGAGCAGGGCCCGCTTCTCTCGAGGCCCCGGCATCCTGACCTTGTCTCTGCAGCGGATCTTGTGATTCACCATGACACCATGCGTGCCGTCATGTATCACCCGCTTCTTGCCCGTCACCTCATCCTCAACCAAGACTGCTAGTGCCGCTACAGCCCGGTCCTCACCATATGTAGCAACAAAGGCCTCCTCGCCCATCTTGGTCATCAGACCCTCCGCAACTTCCTGCTCCAGGTGCTCTGTGAGGTATTTCTCATGCTCTGCCGCTGACACATAGTTCTCCTTCTGCCAGACAGCACTGCTCCAATCCTCACTCTCCAGGTTCCAACGAAGCTGCTCCTCTGGCGTACGAGGCAACTGATTCAAGATGCCCAGTGGCAAACCCACCTTAGCCTGCTCCAAGAAGGCCCAGTCAAGATCACCTGCCTTCTCCAACCCCCCTCTCATAAGGTCCAGGAAAAATGGCTGGCCCTCCTCCGGACAATGTTGCATTGCAATGCCCAAATCATCTGCCAGGAGGCACCGAATCTTCGCTAGGAACTCCTAATCTCGAACCAAGCTGAATGCATTGCCACCTTTTGCCATCCTGAATGCCTCCTTCTCGACCTCCGACAAGCTTCCCAACTTCCGGACCGCCTCCTGCCGTAGTTGAAGCCTCAACTTGACCCACTCCTCGCCTTGCAAGAGTTTCCTCTCGCTCGAAGCCCACCTCCCCGGAGAAGCCAGCCCGCCTCCATCATGGAAGGGAGCCTCCAATCCTTTCCACCTACACGACCGAGGTGGACCTCTACCGCCGGCAACGATCGGGTTCATGGGGTCTACCTCCACCTTCTCCTGCGGCACGTTGCGACGTTTCTCCGCAGGCCCCGGATCATCTGCCGGTTTCCTCTTCTTCTGCACCTCTGAGCCTCTGCAAAATTCACCCCCCCCTGAACACTCTTGAAGAAAGGAGGTGAGAATCGCGTCCGCGGTCCATTTGCAGAGTGCTGATGGCCAAGCTGCTGAATGCGCTGTCTTGAACACCCCATCTTCCTTGCCAATCAGAGGGGCGCCCCCTGGTTGTTTCGGCAAGGGTCCTGCGTACCAGCCTTCTGCATCAAACTGTGGTGGTCCTGCGTGCATTGCTGGATGCAATGGGGCAAAGATCCTCATCAAAAACCTTGTAGGTTTCGGTGAAGCTGTACCAAACTGCGACTGAGCAAAGACAACTGTTTCAACACCATCCAATGCTAAAAGCTCCTGGAAGTGCCAAAACTGCCACATTGATGCCGGTTGATGGCCTGCAATCCTTGCATTGTTTGTCCTGCCCAGATCCTCAGGTTGCTCCATGAGCCCCACTGAATACCTATTGCATGCAAACTGGCGTTTCAATGCTTCAAACGAGAAATCAGCCAAGATTGTACCAAATTCTGCCTTGTGAAAACGCTCCCCCTTGTTCCATGGAAAACCTCTCGGGTAGGACGAGCTCCTCAGTGGGAAAGGTCCCAAATCATTTGCCCACACAGCCCTTGAAAAAGTAGAACAGGGTGGAGTAACAATGACTGCATAGAAGATACCTTTGGCAATCAACTGCAACCATTTCTTCTGTACTGAAGGTATTGTGAAATCCGACTTGCGATCGGACTGGATGTCCAGTTCTGTGATCACCACATGAACACCCTTTCGTTGCGCCAGCCTCCGGAGGAACCCCGCAACCGAATTGCGTCTCTTCCTGCCAGAAAACACGTATAGGACTCGAAGAGTCCTTCACTTGCTCCCTGTTGTGTCCGGAGCCACCGCCTCCTTGCGATTCTTTGGATTGCACTCGTAGAGAGGGTGGCGGTCACTGTAGCAAATCCCGCAGACATGTTTGTATTTGCACTTGCTGCTTTTGCATTTCTCCCCAGGCGTGTTGTACCTGAAGCAAATCATCTCCCCGTCCGGGGTGTGGGTTGCACAATGTGGATTGCTACCTTTGCCCTTGCCCTTCTTGGACTTGCCTTTTTCCTTGCCCTTGCCACCCTTCTCAACTGTTGGCCACTTAGCTTGCGGCTGCTCTCGCCATGGTGGTGTCGGTCTCTTTGCATACAAGGCCAGGGGCGTGGTGAAGTTCCTCTCCTTGATCGTGGCATCCTTCCATGCCATCTTGAGTGAAACTGTAAGTGGTTTGCCCTCCGTGTTCGTGATCTTCACGGCCTGCTTCCTGATTGCTCGTTCATAAGCAATGACAAGTTTCCACGGTGGAGAGGCAAAGGTCTGACCTTCAGCGTCCTTGGCACTCAGGCCAAATACATAGTCCTCCAACAAATAGTCCTTGTATTGCTCAACTGTGTCTTCCCAAGCGCCCTGAAGCTCATGCCTATTGGAATGCTTCAGCGAGATCATAACCATTGCGTTCTTCCAGATCGACAGCCGGCGTCGAAGTTCTTCAGCGTTCGTCGGTTCCTCCACTTTTGTAGAGTAGAGCCTCTACGCATGGCCAATCGGCCCTTGGAGTCCCAAATAGGCACCACAGAATCAGCCTCAATTTCTTCTTTCGACACAACTTCTGTAAGCTCCTCAGCCCGGTATTCACCATGTTCAACTTCAACCAACTTCTTTTCAATGTATTCCTTGGATGGATAAATCTTGTCCTCCAGGTGCCCGTAGCGCTTCTCTAATGCTGAGCGCATAGCCGCCCATTCCCCCGCCACCACCGGCCTCGACCACTGCAGCGTGTCATACTCCGCGTCGACCTCGGCGGCCCGCTGACTCCTCGTCTTGGCATTCGTGAAGGCACAGGTGATCGCTGCCACCTGCACTCTCTCCTCCAAGCTCCTGCTTGCATCCAACTCCCAATGATCCTTGAAGACCAGCGCCAAGTCGTCCCTATCTTTCGCGAAGTTCGACAGCTTCTCTAGTGTCGTGACCCCGTGGTGGAAAAAGAGCTTCTGGTTGTCCAAGCTCACCTCATGCCTAGACAGCAGGTATTTGATATCTGTCCCTGCCGCCTCCAGGGCTTTCGCCCCCTCATCATCCGTGAGCGCCGCGCGCGGCATGACGAGCTCCCGGCCCCCACGCCACGCCCCGCTATTTGAACCGAGCAACCATGCAGCATGCGATGCCGCCCGTGACACGGCGGTGTCAAACGCGCATGCTATGCACCCGTTCAAACACATGCGATGTGACTGAACTACACGGCTCTGAGGTGCGACCCCGCCTCTCCGTCCACTGGCTCTGCCCTTGCACCTGCTGTGCGCCGCCCCAGGACCTGAGCGGCTCGCCCAGTCCGGGTTTTCCTCAACCGCCTACCAGTGTCCGTCCCCAGGTGCGACCTGGGTTTTCCTAGCGCAGTCGCTGCTGCACCCCCCCGCCCCCCAAGCGCGACTCAGGGGTCCCGGAACCTCCGCCCGTCCATCTGCGCCCCATGCGACCCTTTTAGTCACTGAGACCCAGCTCATCCTGGGAGTCACTTGTGGACTCGCTCAACTGTTCGTCTCCGCCACTCCAACACAATTTGCATCGAAGTGTGTACTCTTCAGGTTCCGGAAGGTCTTGATGCGTCTCTGCCCTTACGAAGAATCTCTTCTTCGCCATCCAGCACCCTTTGCTGCCGAGCCGATGTAGTGTGCCCTGCCCTGCACGTCTGTAGACGACGACGAAGCCACCTTCTCTTTCCTCCTCCAGCGCCTCACTCACCTTGGGCGCCACCCTCCTTCTCGCTCTGCGAGTCTCCATATATTGTGGTATCATCATCAGACACCACCACAGGCTTACCCTTGAGGCCCTTTGCCCCGATCTCCTTCCAGGCCTCCACCACATCGTTCGCCTGATCTTCAGGCACTGTCCACTTCTCATGCAGCCACACCTTCAGCTCTTCCATAATGGCTCCCTCGTCCAGCTCCTCGTATGCAGTCTCACTCCGTAGTACTGCAACTATCTTCTTGTGCATCTTCTTGACGATCGAATTGTATGTCCTGACATATACATCGGAACCTTCAGGGCACCACCTCCCCAGAAGGTCCCTGTCAGACTTCTCAACACCCAAAGCTGCCAGGCCGCTAGGCAATGTCGCTCTTTCGCTATGCTCCGACCAGAATCGCTCCCACCCCGAGGGGATGAGAGGCCCTTTGTAGCCCTCCAGCAGCGAAAGCACTCTGGAGCTCCCAGCGACCGCCTCTGCATAGGAGACATGCGCCGATCCATACGCCGACCCGTAGAAACAACCCTCCGGGAAGACGTAGACACGGTCTCTTGGCATCCGCAACTTAACAAGATCGAAGCCAACTGCCAACCAGTCACCGTGCACCACATATGCATCCCTTGCGATGTATATCGGCAGTTCACGCACCCGCTTCCCAGCGCCTGTCGTCTTCGATTGATGCATCATCCCAATCAACTGGCCATCGTAGTACCTGATTTCGGACGTCTTCAAGTGGGCTGCATCGTCAAACCGCATGGAAGCCCACATCTTTATGAGCTTGAACCATGCACAAACCCGAACCTCGAAGGGGACAGCGCTGTCCACCACCAAGGTCTCCATTGGCGCAATGAAGCACCCCAGCCAACGAGGCGCTCGCCTGACTGGGGGGGCCTTCTGTTCCAGCTTGCGTGTCAGCTCCTTCATCACCATCTGGGGGAAATACTGGTTCATCAGCTGATCCTCTTCTGCTGCGCCGGCCGTCTTCTCAAACCATGCCACTGCCGAACTCACGGACAACGGAATTGACGGCCCCATGCCTTCCTCCTCCCTGGCGTACATGTAGTCTACCAAGGTCACGCTGTCTGGACGCTTTCCGGGCTTTCCCATTGCGTCTGACCACTCTCTGAACCGCTCCCAGGAAGCCAAGTATCTTCGCACCGTTGACATGCGGTACTTCCCGATGAGCGCTTCCTTCGCTCTGGTAGGGTTCATGGTCTTCTTCATCTCGTCCAGCACCGGTGCTTTGTAACGCACCAATTCATCTACCAGCTTGTCCATGATCTTGTCCGTCACCTCCTCCTCGGCTGCCACGCGGCCACTCCTTAGCCGGACTGTTCTCCCCAAGGTGCCCCTCTTAGGCATCGTCGGGAGAATCACTTGGACATCTGGAGGCTCGAGGGTCCTCTTCTTTTCTTTCTCCATCGCCACCCTGGCATCCAACAAGTTCTGCATGGACCTTGTCGATGATGTCCCTGTCAACCGTTCATCCAGGTCTGCCATTTGTACTGCCTCACGGACTTGACCCATGATGAAGGCAGTGTGCCAGGGCCGATGTTCTAAACCCAGTCGGTCCGTCAACTGCCTTGCCAGCACTTGCTCTGAGCCATGGCTTACGGCTAACATCCCACCGACTAATCCCAACTCGCTCAGGAGGTTGAGGATCCGTGCGGTCTCCTCGGGGTCGGGGGCACAAGTGCCCCCTTCCATACCTCCGAAGCTGAAAAACACCTATCCTCGAGCCTCCAAGCGGTTGTGTGAAATTCTGTCATGACGTGTCATGAGTGAATATATACACCAAAGCCTAACCCTAACAGCTGTCAACAAGGGGTTCCCTGGTCCACGCGCGCCCCGAACTCCGCCGAGGTCTCCCCTAGTAGCGTCCTTGCTCCTAGTAGCCCCTAGTAGCGTCCTTGCTCCTAGTAGTACGGCCAGGAAGCCCCTAGTAGCATCCTTGATCCTAGTAGTACGGCCAGGAGACCCTAGTAGCGTCCTTGCTCCTAGTAGTACGGCCAGGAGCCCCTAGTAGCGTCCTTGCTCCTAGTAGCGATGCACTTTGCTCCTAGTAGCGTCCTTGCTCCTAGTAGTACGGCCAGGAGCCCCTAGTAACGTCCTTGCTGGCCAGGAGCCCCTAGTAGCGTCCTTGCTCCTAGTAGTACGACCAGGAGCCCCTAGGAGCGTCCTTGCTCCTAGTAGTACGGCCAGGAGCCCCTAGTACCGTCCTTGCTCCTAGTAGTACGGCCGGGAGCCCCTAGTAGCGTCCTTGCTCCTAGTAGTAGGGCCAGGAGCCCCTAGTAACGTCCTTGCTCCTAGTAGCGTCCTTGCTCCTAGTAGTAAGGCCAGGAGCCCCTAGTAGCGAACATTGCTCCTAGTAGCGAAAGGAAGCATCTGGAGAGCTGTGGAACCTGCAGTGTTGAGTAGTTTGATGATGTTTGACGCGTCTGTGAGAAGGAAACCGGGCCCCTTCAACTTTTGTCCACGCTTTATATCCAGCTGCGCTTGTTTCATGCAATGATATGAGCCTATCCGCCCCCATCGGTTTCACACTGACCACTGCTCTTTGCGACTTGTTTGCAGTTGAGCTTCCCACATACTTGACATGCAATGCTCATCAGTTCAAGTCCCCGAATCACCCAACCAGTGCTCAACCGTCGCCGGGCTCCGCCTGTCGCCCTCAGCAACAGCTGGAGCGCTCCTGACGGCCTCACCAAACGGTATGGAATGCAGTGTTCAGCATGATCGCCAAAAAGGGAACCCACGACAATGATTAAGTTTTACTCGGCGTCAATGACCAAGTTTAATTTGGTGTTTGTGAATGCTATCTAGAAGCTTGTTGGGCTACATAAATCGGTGCTTTGTTATTCAGGATGTGATAAAATGTTGGTACTATCAAAGGCGCTGGAATTACGGTAGCGCTGGCACACTTCTGAGCAATTTGAGCCCAGTACAAAGCTTTGAAAGAGGTTCGTGATGCTTGAACTTCTGAACAACTAACTTCCAGGATTGAGGAGAAGGAATTGCATCCCTGCGAAGCGTGAAGTTGGCGTTAAGCTCGCTTGAACAACGAGGTGTTCAAGTAAAATCGTTGTGAAATGTTGTGAAGGAACCCTATATAGATGTGTGTCCAAATCACATCCAAATAATAAGTGTCGTAATCAACAAACATGACGATATGGCTGCACAGTGGAAAACTCTATGCAAAAGGCGTCTGGTGATATGACATGATCATTCAAAGCGATACACCAAGGATGTGAGGGTCCAAGCAATCAACTTTGGGCAGAACTACGTCTGTGAGTGAAATTGTGCGGTTGTTGAAAGACTAAGTTTGACTTCGCCATTGGAAGGCAAAGGATTGGCTATAAGACTGTTTCCGGTGATTTTCATATTATGTTTCTAGCAGGCAACTGTGCCAAGATGTGCCAAGCAATTATATAAAAACGTACTATGCCTGGTGTCAGAAACCAAACATTGTCCTTGATTCAGAGTTGCAAAAAACAAGTGGATCTGCACAAGAAAAGGAGTCAAACAAGTATTTGCGATTGTAATTTTGAAAAAAATGATGGCTTCCCTGGGGGATCCTGGAGTGAGCATGCAATACGGGCGGACACCCCTTTCTTCGTGCCTTTCGCCTAGATGGGAAGCACCGACACAGAAATTTGTCAGAAAAACTGTTCAGCTTAAACCACCAGTCGCACAATTTTTACAGCAAGGGCAGGTTGGACATTTGCTGAGCGAAACGATGTCCGTGAGGTGTACTTGTTTCTTTAGCTGGACCTTTCCCAATCAACCGAATGAATGACCGAACAAATGAACCAACCAGGACTCCCTCTGCTGTGGTCCACACTTTGTCGCGGAAAGCCACGCTTGGCCAAAGACTGTTGAGCGCCGTGGCCATAGTAGCCACCTATCGCCGTTGGTGGGACGGGAACACTCGGATATGCTGGATGTACTGCTGGATGTCTATCTTCATGTCATTTCATTGACTTCGCTCAGAATGTTCTTCCCATTTGGCCTCCACCTAAAAGGGTCCAACTGGAAACCATTCGTCGAAACATGGTTCATCCATGAATACGGGACTTTAGAGTTGTCATATGATCTCATTGTCCGCCCCCACAAATGAGACGACGTTTGTGGCACTTGCATGCAGTGTTGTACAAACCAATAAACACATCAAATCTGTGATTGTGTTTGGCACCAATCAGGATGACCGACCGGTGTTTGACGGAAACGTCCTTTCAACTGTTCGCCGTGTGACATGTCATGTGATTTCCATTCCTTTGAACACCGGCTGAGGGTACCAACCGGGTGCTGATCAATGCTAGGGCTCTGGGTGCAAAGAGACCTTTCCCTTGAGCACAAGAGTCCAAAACTTGCACTGACACATAGTTGCAAAGGGGCCCCGGACGCTGAGCCGATTGCCAACTTCGGGGATCAATGATGGTTGCTAGACCCTCAGACCGGGCCTGGTGCCCAGGTGGGCTTTAGAAGTTCACCAGCGCCTGGCCAGGAAACTGCTCAAACATAATCAGGATGGTGACAGAATGCTTACATGTGTTACATATTGAAAAACGAACCAAAAACAACCATTTCCTATGAAAGAGACGTGACTAATAACGTTTCATGGTCAGTTTTGCAAACAAACCCAAATTGGACTAATGTCAGCCCATGACTGAAGCCTATTAGTTTGACGCGGTTTTTCCGGTTACTAGCCGTCTTTCAAAAATCCTTCTGGTGCATTTTCCAAATGGGCACCCAATAACCCAACTAGCTTGGCCAACCTTTTTTGGCCCAGCTTTGTTGCAATATTAACCTCCTTTTTTCCAGCTTCTGCTCACCTCCAGTTTTGCCAATTCCTCATCCGTCCCTTTGCAAGTTGGTCAACATCCCTTGTCCGATTAGTTTCCAAAACACAGAACTTGCCTCGGCCTCATTGTTGGCTCCTCCAATTCCTGAGTGCCTTGTCATTCTCAGACAAATCAATCATTATGTGGCAGCCCTGTCATATCCACCTTACACAACAGTTCCTGTATTGTCTTGACAAGATCAAACATCAATCTGGGGTTTTGTGAACGCTATTCTGTTTGAAATCAACATGAATCTTTCAGTAGTTGCTCACTTCTGTTCCAAATTTTCAGCATGTGGGTGTGAAGCTTGTTGATGCATTTTCACAAACAGAAAGAGCGAAAACTTTGCTCAAAGCCTTCCGAGTCTGTGTGACCATGCTTGGTCGCGCACCTTGTCTGCCTCCCTTTCTCTATCACCTTGCCCACACTTCTTTTCTTGTGGGTATCCATCTAGGGCGTGCCAAAAGCGCCTTTAGTTTACATGACGTTCCCAAGCAGCTCAGACATGCGCGAGGTTTAGACCGCCAGAGTTGTCCCAGCTTCATGAAGCTCATGCCAATAAAAAAAAACTTGATGATTCACCTTGGCCTCCTCACTTGCTTCAAATCCCTCCTGATGCACATGAAGCCTCTCGTCTTTCAAATCCGCTGTGCTCATGCTGGAATGGCATGTCGCGCCCAGTCTCCTCATTCGACACATGCTTGCCATCCTTCTCACATGCTGCCCCACGGTGCTCTTGATATGGCAGGTCATGGTACCACACCTCATGCTCAATGGCCTCCAAGTCTTCACAAAAATACATTCATGTAGTACCACACATGCCTCAAAGCTTCCATTCATATCATGAGCTTCTCCATGCCTCTTTTCCAAGTGCATGCCGCACTTTAGTTAGTCTTGGGGATCCCTCCTCATGAAGAGATGTATAGTCTTTGGGATCTCTCCTCATGAAAAGGCTTACATTATAGTCTTTGAGATCCATCCTCATGATGGACACCCCCAAAAAGAACTATATATATATATATAAAGTTGTTTTCCACATTATTCGGTTCCCAGACCTTCTATATAATTAGGGAGGTTATTCATCGTGGGTTGACATTATAGTTCGTGCAATGCCTACAACTCTATTTGTTCCTCTCCGCACACGCAACATGATCAGTTGAAATCAGATGAACTAAGAGACGCACCCCGCATGCCTACCCGCTGTTATTATCTAGTCTTGTTCCTAATCCAAGGGGTGGTTTCAAAAACAAGTCTAAGTGGATTGCAGGGCATCTTTATCAATGGGCTTGTTGAAAGAGAAGAATGATAACTTTTCCGAAAGAAATCTCCAATCAGAAACCCAAAGGTTGCTTGTGATTCGGAAGCAGGATTGCTCTCCAGTGAAATGGACCTTCATAGAATTGAACCTCATGTGATTTCATGTGATTTGTATCATGACTTACGACATGCTACGGGCAGTATGCCCTCAAACATCCCGTTGCACCGTGCACCACAGCTGTTGCTCGATGTGTGGGGCGACCCCCATCGAACCCTGCGTTGCCTGGACGGGCGTGTGGCTTCGCTGCAGGTGGTGACCTCATTGGATCTCAGGTGTACGACCTGGTACAACTCAACACAAAAACTAGACGACGAGTGGCCCGAAAGCATTTTTCATCACGTAGGAAGTCAGAGTGCGAGTTATCTGTTAAGTGTGCGGTGTGAAGTGTTACGTAGGTTTCCTGCTAGTAGCTTAAGGGCAAGAGCACCTAGTAGCGTCCTGCCAGGATCTAGGTAACCGACATAGGTGTGTAGTTGTGTTATTCATGGAAACCCTCCACCAATGGGTCGTGGTCTATTGTCCTTCCAGGGGGTCAAACGGGGGTCTCCTGGATCCAGGATTCATCAACCGATTCTGACCCAAGTCTTTGGGCAACGGATTCGCCCCGACCGCGCCGAACGCAGACTCCATGACACATATTCGCACCGAGTGGAGTTGCTTCGGCGATCTCGATGTCCTACGTGATGAAAAATGCTTTCGGGCCCTTTCCTTCTTGTTACTAGTAGTAAGGCCAGGAGCCCCTGGTAGCGTCCTTCCTCCTAGTAGTTTCATCACGTAGGAAGTCTGAGTGCGAGTTATCTGTTAGGTGTGCAGTGTGAAGTGTTAAGTCGAGTGAGTTGAGGTAGTGTGTGGGTCTCTGTGTGTGTATCTATGTCCGTGTGTATATGAGTCTCTGTCCTTGTGTGTGTCCGAGTAAGTTGAGGCAGTGCGTGGGTCTCTGTGTGTGATGTGTGTGTGAGAGTCCCTGTCTGTGTGCGTATGTCCATGTCTGCTGCTGGTGAAGGTCTTCTCTGTACATATACTGAACGAATTAGCGCGCAGGCCTCCCAAACCCCCCACCGGCGGCCACGCGGTGACAGCCCAGCTCATCGTCGCGTACCAAAGTTGTACTACCAAGTCGCCAGTTCTCATCTTCCAGCTCCCCAGCTACTCCGCGTACTACAGTTGTACTACAAAGTCGCCAGTGCTCATCTTCCAGCTCCACAGATACTCCGCGTATTCAACTCGTACTACCCACTCACCAGTTCTCATTTTCCCACTCCCCAGCTACTCTGCGTACTAAAGTTGTACTACCAAGTCGCCAGTTCTCATCTTCCAGCTCCCCAGCTACTCCGCGTACTAAAGTTATACTACACACTCGCCAGTTCTCAGCTTCCAGCTCCACAGATTGCTCCGCGTACTCAAGTTGTACTAGAAACTCGCCAGTTCTCAGCTTCCAGCTCCACAGCTACTCCGCGTACTAAAGTTGTACTACACAGTCGCCAGTTCTCAGCTTCCAGCTCCACAGATTGCTCCGCGGACTAAAGTTGTAAAACGAAGTCACCAGTTCTCAGCTTCCAGCTCCCCAGCTACTCCGCGTACTACAGTTCTACTATAAAGTCGCCAGTGCTCATCTTCCAGCTCCCCAGATACTCCGCGTACTCAAGTTGTACTACCCACTCGCCAGTTCTCATCTTCCCACTCCCCAGCTACTCCGCGTACTACAGTTGTACTACCACGTCGCCAGTTCTCAGCTTCCAGCTCCCCAGCTACTCCGCGTACTAAAGTTGTACAGGAACCTGACAAAGTCATCCCTCAGTCATCCCTGGTCACTGTTTCAATGCCAAATCACAATGGCAACGCTGTTTCCAAAAAGTCATCCCCCAGTCACCCCCGGGAGCCAACCCCAATGGAACGCTGATACCCAAACAACACTTATCACCCAGAAAGTAAACCCAAAGAGTGCAAAAACCAATGGAACGCTAGTTCCAAAAGAGTGTGGTTTTGATTGATTTACATACGTTTACTGCACACCAGTCCCAATGGAACGCTGTAGAAATAGTTTGTTGACAAAACAGAGTCTGTGGCCACATAACCAGGGTAGGGGCTAAGGATATCTACTGTATGTATATGGGGAATGTTCCAGACAGCTCCTCCACGAAAAGCAAAAGTCTGCGATGCGACGGAATTCATCGGCACTGCGGCGCAACTCTCACGTGCTTCACACTTCGTTCCCGAACAACGCTCTAATGGGAATTGTAGACACAGGAATGACAGTCATTCGACACATGGGAATGACAATCTTTCTATATAGATTTTATGGAAATGACCTGTGCGCCCAAGCTCTCTCCACTTTTTTTCGTGCAAAATCTGTGCGTGTCAGGTTTTGGGTTTGGGAGGTTTGGCGAACTGGTTGGACCGATTCGAAGACCATGCAGAGAGCCATGCTTTTCTGGCTTGCTTGCTGCCTAGCACATTGGAACTGATCACGTTCATCCGAAATACTTCCCAGAGCGGATGGCCCTTACCAGTCTTCTTCCGCAACTCATGGTCAACATAGAAGGTGGCAATGGGAATGACAGCATCCCTCTCAGCCACAGGGAAGCATGCCACGATGTAACTGATACTGATGCAGCCGTCAGGCTCTTTCAAATCAAACTCCACAGCCTCTTCCACAATCTTTTCTGCACTTGTAGTAGCTCCCTTCCCAGGTGCAGGCAATGGATCTTCCAATGCCTGCTCTTGATGTCCACTATCTGCTTGCCCTTTGTCCTTGCTGCGAAGCTTCTTGAAGAGCTCACCCACCCCAACCGCCAGCTGCTTCTCTGCGGCATTCTCTGCAGCAACTTCAAGCAACTGGGGGGGCTTCAGCCACCCAGAACGCTTGGCTTTGTAAAGCTCTGCAGTCTTGGACTCATAGTTGCTATTTGCCGCACCGCACTGCCCACAAAACTTCTCAACTACAGACACTTTCGCTTTGCACCCATCAGCAGAGCACGACTTTTTCTGAGGGCTTACTTTCTCTACTATGGACAAAGCAGAGGAAGTTTTGCTTTGTGGAGTGGGTGCGCACCAGGAATCCTTGCAGTGGAACAGTTCTGTAGCTCTTTCATTGAGCACTTTGATGCGCTGAATGCGTTCTCCTGGAGTCCAGCCGCATTGCGCCCAGCCAGCACGTGCTTGTGTCTCACTGAGACCTTCGATGACACAGCGGCGAATCCCTGCCAAAGCATGGTGTATGTTCAAACTTCCATGCTGAAGACGTACGGCATGATGTTGTGTCTGTGGCTCAGTAGAGCCATGGAGACGCTGATGTGTAGGTTTGATCCGCCACCACTGTCAAGGATAAGAATCAATGGAATACTGGTGTCAGGATACCTTTCCCGAGCTGGCTTGATCAGGCACTGCTCCAAGAAAAAGACAAAGGACAACCTGAGCACAAACAGTGTACAAAACACAAGCTGCACATATATATATATATATATGAACAGCCCTCTCCCTCCAAGAAAACCTTCCTCTAACCTCATTTCAAGACACGGGCTTTGACTTCCACTCTCTGAGGCGTGGAAAACAGCTTCTGGCCATATGTCAGTGAAATTCTTGTGAACTCTCTTGAAGGGAACAATAACCCCGCATGGAAACGCTGGGCCAACACATGGCAGAAAGCTTGTGACTGTCACGTGCTCAAAAGAAAGCACGGGCGTGGATGCAGCTGCTGTCTGCTTTCCTTTTCTGGTTGTGACTCCTCTGACGATGGCATCTGCCCTGGCCGAAAACCCTTTCTCATCAGTTATGATTAGACGGCCAGCCTCTTTTTCCAGCAGGATGCCATCGCGCATGATTCCAGCGCGGGTGCACATGTCCTCTAAATCAGAAAGCACTGCGGCGACCACCTGTGGAGTGCACGATGTGACCTCATAGCCAGTCTTTAGCTTCAGCTTTGATACCGACAGTTGCTCAGAAGGCGGCTTGGTTTTGCGGCACCATTCCTTCAAATCTCTCCACAAATGATTGTACTTGGGAAGCATTGACTCTATGCGGGATTGCAACTCACCAACAGGAGGCTCATCTCTTAGATGTCCCATCTTCTCCATTTTCATCACCACTATAGCTTTCTCAACCTCTTGGACGCTGAGGGATGAGCCTGTGCACTCATGAAAGCGGATGTAGGTCCACAGGTCTTTTTCAGCAACGGAGAGTGAGCTCTGGGGCGTTCGCCCCATCCGAAAAATAGGCGGGCACTCGAACGGAAGATGCTCTGGAAACATGGTGGCAATTTTGTACCTTAAGGAATTGGGCAATGGGTTTCCCAAAGACAATGGAAGGGCAAGAATTACGATAGAACAAAACCAGAAAGGTTACAAAACCTAGCTTAGTTGCAGCTGCTTCTTGTTGATCTTCAAGGCCTTCAGCTCTGACTCTGCAGTAGCAGGCTTCTGCAATTTTGTGCCAGCGTCTTTGAGCAACAAATGAAGCAAGCCGTACATCTCCCACCGTTTCTGGTCGTGGCCTGCAGGGTGGTGCGAATACTGCTCAAAATCTCGCACCAAATCATCCGTTGTGTAACCCTGGGGCAACTGGATCATTCGGCCCGCATCCGATTCAACTTCCCATGGCAGCAAAGTCTTGTTAGGTTGACACTCAAGCGCGGTAGCGCTGCCAGTGTTAGACAGCTTGGCTTTGACTTCTCGTCGAAACGCGTCCTGCTGTCCATTTGTCATAGCTTTCCACTTTGCAACATAATCAGCTTGCTTCCGTTTCTGGCCACCATCGCGAAATGCACAGATTCGTGCATACCAGTGCTGCTGAGATTCTTTCGCTCGACGTTCCCATCCATGTGGGGGATCTCCTGCGCCAGGCTCTTTACAATCTGTTCCGGCAACGTCGTTTTGCGTAAGCTTGGATGACTCCGACGTAAGAGCAGCATCAGGAGCAACATGATCCTGAGGCAAGATAAACGTGTCCTCAACATCCATGGCATCCAACCCAGCAACCTTTGCTTCATCCACATAGCAAGGGTGACATACACCCACTACAGGAGACTTGTTGTCGCCACTCAAAGCAGCGCAGCAAAGGTTGCATGTCTTGTAGGGGTCGGCAGCTTTCTCTACAGGCTTCTGCTGCGCACTGAGACGCCGTTCACACACAAAGCATTTCTGACAGTAAGCCGGGAGCGCAGACTTATTGGCTTCATCGATAGCTATCTTGCAGTCAACGCACTGGGGAGGCTTCGACGGTGCAGCGGAAGAAGACTGAGAAAAGCCTTTGACGTGCGACT